TATATGATTGTTACCTTTTTTGTTGAGCTCAGAACAAAGAGAACAGAAATGATTAGGAGAAAGGACAACATAGATGTAGATTTTCTTTTTAAGCTTGACTTTTGTTGGCAATATGAGATTCTTTTGTAGAGTTGGGATGTGAACCGTTCAAAAAAGTTTGAAGTATTCCAGTATAGCTGCCAAAGATGAGTTACAGACTCACCTCTGTACACAGTATATAGTCTCAAGGTGGAGTTGATTAAATAAAGAGTATTTCACTCCAAAGATACTCAGGAGAAAAAAGAGAAAAAAAATCTTTACATTTGAATGGTTAACTCTGAAACTAAGTTGCATGTAACTTGTTATAAGGTTATGATCATTCATGAAAAAATAGAGACAGGTTGTGCAAGATGTAAGTTTTTCAAAAGTAGTGCTCAGTAATAACTTGCATCTCCAGTCAGTTTTTGGTTAATTTAAGACAATAATTTTTTCTCAAAATTACTGGTCAAGAGAAGTTTTGCAAACCATACAGTATTGCCTATGTAATTTGCTATTCATGGTGGACTGTTGACCTTAAAATGCTTTAAAAAAACATGGATTACAGTCGATTCTACCAAATCAGTGTTGACACCATTAATTTAAAGTGTTGCCACTGTTGAGGTACACACCAATTGAACTGGATCAGATAAAGCCTCACATCAAAATAAGCAACAAAAAATTCCCTTTTTTCAGCCAGTTTTTACTAGACCAGAGAATTGGAATTATAGACCAGTTCAGCAGTGGGGAGACAATATCACATGATGGTTTGTGTGTGGCCTGAGACCTCTGGTGGTTTTTCCTCAAATTTCTTCCTAACCAAAAATGGGGTTTATCTTCTTCCATTCTGATGAACTTGTGCAACTTTTTTCTGTTCTTATGTAAGGAGTTGAAGAAATGTTTTGTTTGCTTACTAATTTTAAACACCACACCTAACATTTTCAAGATGACCCTCTAGTTTTCCTAGTTATGTATGTGTTACACCCCATTTCCATAGATTTTTAGATTGATCTATCCCTGTTGGGAGTCTCACTAGATTACTGTCAGCTTGGCCGGCTTAAGCGTCTGTCCTGCCTACTAAAAGCTGTAAGGGGGTAATTAACTATGGTGCCCGCTCGGCTGACTGCAATTTAGCGTGAACCCCCAGGGAGTTAGGTCGATCTAAATCTTAATCTCTAGATCGATCTAAATCTCTGGAAAAGCACCCTTAGATGATAAAAACAGGTAACATTATTTATTTCCAGAAACCTAGTTCTGAATACTTCTTATTTTAACTTTTTTGGTCAGTTTGATCAAGTTGTATGATGAATGTACATCTATATAAATCCTTACTACTCAAGGCTAAACAAAGTATAGGATACATATAGATGCAGCCGAATATGGTTTTCATATTGTTTGAAGCATTCAAGTTTCATTTGTAGGTACTCTTTTTTTCTTTAATGGCTTACAAAGTGGTGTTGAAAAAGCTGTCAGTGAGCATTTCCTGGTCTCCTTTTTCTCTAGCTGCCTTTTTGCTTTCTAGCATTCCCTAAATTGACAAAACAAAACATGACTTATGCATTCTGGATTAAAAGTTTGTGATAAGGATTTGATGGTGTATTGCTAAATGTTATGTATGCTGCCTAGGTTAAATGTTTATGTTAAAGGGATAATAACTCTTCGTTTTGGCCAAAAAATGAATTTTCCTGGAGTAAACAACAATTTCCCATACTTACCAATGGTTAATGAATCCATTTTTACATTCAAAGTTAGTCCCTGGTTTTTTTCTAAAAAGTTTGGTTTTTTGTTAAAATCTCTTAAGAGATTATAACTGAGTATAGCCATCAATGGAGGTCATGTGATCTGAAGACAAGCTCAGATATCAGAATAATAGCTATAACTGCTGTTTTTGTGGTAAAACAGAATATATTATATTTCTATGAGTTGTTCACAATGTTCTTATTGTGAAATATAGATATCATACAAAGAGTTATTATCCCTTTAATACTGTCATAATTTATTGCTAAAAACTGTGATTAGTTTAGTTTTACAGATGTTTGCTATTTTAAATTAGTTAATATAACCAGCAGGTAAAATTATTATCTTTGTTTTATGAATCAGCGGACAGATAAATAGATATGAAAACCTCTAAAAATACAAAAATTCACCATGTGGATAGTAATAGTAAGTAGGTTCCACTTGGTGGCATTATCATGGACTTCATTAGGAGCAAAATACCACATGGTTAAACTTACGCCATTGCCAAGCTGCAGATGTAACCTTCTCCCCAAGTGGAGGGTTCCTCCTCGTTTCAGATCTCCTCAGATTGGATCTGACGTGAAAAGAAGGTTTTTCATCCCCCGGGAACATTTTAAGGAGACATAATGTCAGAACCTAATGTGTGAAATGTTACTAGTTTACCAGTTCAAACGTTTTTTTTTTAATGCAGTAGAAATGATCAAGGTACTAGCTGTTAATTTTCAACATTGAAAAAAGAAATCTGAAGTATGTAGGAAAGGGAATGGCATTACCTTATGGGTGAAGTTGTTCCCACATTCCGGTATAATTATTTTTAAAAAGAGAAATTGAACATGAAAAAAAATACACTTTACAAATTGATGGAATCTCAACCAGTCTGTGGATTGGTAATTGCATTTTACCATTAATCTCTCCTTGCCTTTTAGGTTTCACTTTTATTATCAAATGGCAGATGTGTTTTGATCTCCTGTGGAACAGATTACCAGAATCCTTTTAAATCTGTGTGACAAATGAATGTTTTTCATTAGTTGGCATGGTGTAATGTTGTATTTTAGCTAGAGAATGTCCTTGCTGTCACTAATGAGATGTTTTTATCAAAACCCTTGTAACTGAAGAATTCTTACTGTTACCCCCTTCCCTGAAAGAGAGAAATCTGCAAAGCACTTTTTTAAAATCTTTTTTGGTAACACATTGAAGTGTTGCATACTTGTGTTTGTGGTTGAAATAAGAAACTGTGTCCAGGAAGTTCACCAGTAAATATTATTATTTCATTGGATTTCCCTAATTTTTCTGCTCAAAGTCTATTTGTCTGAAGCTTGTATGTTCCTGCAGCTTTATAGACAGCACCTAGTGCATCACCGAACAATATTTTCATCTATGATCAAATTTTTAGGTATGATTTGAATGTGATGTAGAAAGATACATATCAGATATGAATGAAAAATAGCCATTGAAGTATGTCAAAGATTTTTAAACAGTCCTCCTCTGATGCAAGTATAAAAGTTCTTTCAGTTGAATGCTACTTGTCAGATGCTTTCGTGTTTCAAGGTCCTTCTGTTTTAAAGATTACAAAACAAAGTTTCTTGCCAAGTGCTCATGTCAGAAAGATGGGTTCTATATCAGTGGGCTGAAGTGTTTTATTCAGTTTTAACATTTGGCAATGGATAGATGTTTTTGGAAACTTGTAGACATAAAGATACCTGCAGAAGCCAAGATTTCTTTTATCTCTTGAAAAGGTGTCTGGCAATGATGCCAAGTTTTTAAGTCTTGAGTGCAATGTAGAATTTAACCATGTGTTGTCTAGAAAGAAGAAATTGTTACTTAGATTGAATACGGTTTTACTTTTATTTGTATTAAGTGGGAAACATGTTGTGTGAAATACAGTGTCGATACCTGTCGACTATGGTCTTTCCTCAAATGAAACTCAAGTGAGTTTCAAAAGATGAGGATTTAACTAAACAGTTATTTGTTTCAATGCTGTTTTAATTAGCAGTTGAGTACAGTAGTGGATTCTAAATTGAATGGCAGCCTACCTCTTGGTCCAACATTGCATGCCATGTTTCATATGATCTGCACAAACAACTAAATACTTAAAATTCTATGTAAAAGGGAACTTGCAGTAAATATCCAGAGAAATAGTAGCTAAGTGCAAACCCCCTGCTGGTACTCCTATAGGTATAATTAATTTGTGTGAGCTATGGTTACTAGCCTGGGTTGGATTAGGGAGGTGATAGGCAGTTAAGTAGTAATTAGATCCCCTGAGATAAACAGGTGTTAGACTGGTCATTAGGGTCATCTTGGGTCAAGAGACTGTGGACATGTCTGTATACAGTCACCTTAACAGATACATCGGACACTTAGAAATATTCTTTGAAAAAATTGTTTAGGATTCTTGTAATAATTTGGTTGATTTTTTTTATCTCTCTTAAAAAATAAAAGGAAGACAGTCTTTGAGAATGGCTGTAAACAAACATAAGGGTTTTATTACTTTGTTTTTTTGATCAGTTTTGCCATGAATGGGAAACTGCCAGTCTCTGGTAAGTTTAGTTAAGCACAAATCTCACTACTTGAAAAGTTATTTACTTCATTGCTCTTGTATAAAAAATCTCACAGAATGTTATGTTAGAGGTTGTGAGGGCAGGGCAGAAAGTCTGTAATTTAAGAGAGTTCGGCACATTTTACTATCAGATATCAAGAGGAGCCTGTTAAAGGTTTTTGTTGCAGTGCTTTTGTACAGTTTTTACTTTGTTGCCTTATGCTGGCAGAGGATTGATTTCAGAAACAGCTTTCTACAAAGACAGTACTATTTTTTTGAAGAATAGCAAGGAAAAATACAAAAATTAGATTTATGAGAGTTGATGTCATGATGGACAAAGACCCTTTTAATATTTGAATGGGCATCGATTGTCTACCATGTCAAATTTAAGTAAAAAAGTTGATTGATGTTTCAGAAAATTGGTGCCACTTTGAGGAAAAATATTAAACTGACTTCACTCTAAGAAGACATTACTCAGTTTCAGGTCATAAAGGTGTGTGTTCACACATGACTTTTGTGGACTGAAAATGGCCTACACTGTGAATCAAACAATGAAGTTACAGGGAGCCCACTGACAATGACAAATTGAGATTACTTTTCCAAATGATAAAAAGTTAAAGTATATGATTTGATTTTTTTACTTAACCTTCCTGTAGGTACAACATGTGTACTAAAACATTTTGTGACTGAAACCTTTTTTTCTGTCTTTCAGCAGCCCGTGGTGAAGAGCAGTGCACATGTCCTTTGAATCGTTTCCAATGCGAGCCGGTGAACAGTGGGGAATGCACATGCATCCCTAAGCACTGGGTGTGTGATGGAGATCATGATTGCGAAAATGGAAATGATGAAGCTCCTGGAAAATGTGGTAAGAATACGCGGGCATGTATGTCGGCACATGCCCAGTATAAATGTGCTCAAATGTTGATTAAGTACTGAATCTTTTAAAACTGTGGTAAACCTTTATGGAAATATTCTTGTATTGTCTTGCATGGTGATTTTACCTTTTGGTTTTTTAAAGGCATTAACTGACAACAAGTGAGAAAAAATGAAAGGAAGAATTACTGAATGTAGACATGTGAAACAATATTTTTAATTTTTTTACTTTTAAAACTATTTTTTTCTAAATTTGATGAATAGGCAGTTGCAGAAAAAAGTGATGACACTTTTTATCAAATGTCAGATTAAGTTAAAGTCATGACACCAGCTCAGGATATATGTCCTTTGTGTAGAAGATCAAATAGGTTGTAGATGCCTACTGTCTTGTAGAGAACCAGTGTCCAAGTTCAGCTCAAGTTCATCTGATCCATCACTTGAAGATAGAACATCTGTAAGGCATGCGTTACAGGTGTGGGTTTGTGCTTTATCATGTCCTGCCATGTGGACCACTGGTGTGCAAACCAATGAACAGTTTTTGTTTGCATTATGAAATATGTAGTGTCCAGACACATGAGTTTAGATAGCAGTAAAGGTATCTTGTTTTTGTAATCATTTTGTATCATTTCCCCAATCAGCCTTATCCCCCCTGCCCCCACACCTCCCCTCACTCCTTCCTCTTTTCTGCCACAAATATCTAATTTTATCTGACATGATCACCTTGTGGATAGATACAATTAATGTAGTATTTCAGAATCCTTACATACAATTTTAAGCACCATTGACTCTACCGATTTCAGACATACATAAGAAAAATATTCAGGAATCCTTTAAGTCAGCCGTTAAGTAGCATCTAGGAATCTTAATATTTTTCCTCTGTCAAAGCAAACTATTTAGAGAAGAGACAAGGTGTCTGCTTACATACGTCATGTTTTGCCTTATCGCTCCCATCTCAAGTTGATGTTTCTTTTTAGCGGCATGTATTACGAGTCTGATGTCACCATTTTGAGGAAAATGTCTTTATATCCAGACTTGTGTCTCTTTATCAAATTGGTTTACATTTATCTGAACATTTTCAGAAGATAAAGACCCGAAACACATGCAATGATGTTGGGGTGAAGCATAAGCTGTATCATATTCAGTTGAAGTGTATATTACAATAAAATCAATGAAATCAAGTATTCTGGAAATTGCTGATGAAAGAAAGTTCTGGTGGCCCTGGCTATATGTGGAGAAGCTTCATCCTGCTGAATGCATTATGTTTTCTTGTCAGTCTGATTATTTGATTTTATTCCATGAGGACATGGATTTTTCAAATTCAGTGTCCTTTCATATCAAAAGATCTCTAACATTTTTGTACATCACACATACTGTTAGTGCTGTATACCCATCTCAGGCCCGTAGCCAGGGAGTTTGGGGGGCCCGGGGGTTCAAAAGAACCGCCCTTTTTGTCAGAAAAAGGTCCGTTCTGGGTAAAATTTGATCTAGGTACGAAAAGGTTTTTTTGTAAAAAGTCCACTTTTTTGGAAAAAGAACCCCCTCCCCTTTGAAATTGCTGGCTATGGGCCTGGATCTTGATCATTATTCCCCTTTTCACAGCCTTGCTGATTGAAGGGGAACTGGAATGTTAGTGATGGTAATACAGCAGCATTTGAAGAGAGAGAAAGTAAGGTCAAGTGGGTTAGAGCTAGTACAAAAGGAGGGGGGAGAGAGTGTTTGTTGTTATTGGCTTGGATTATTGTAGATTGATATACCTATAAAAACACTGGCATGTAATCAAAGTGCTGCCATTGTTTTGGCTGTGGAGAGCAGGTGGTGTTGTTTGCTGAAAGTGAGACTTCACTGAGTGCTCATCTACGGATCAGATTGAGTGGAAAGAAAAAGAAAAATCTAAACTTGGGGAACTCGAGCGTGATGAAAAAATGTTCTATAATAATGTTGCAAAATTTGAAGTAATGTTGGATTTGAGAAATTTTGATATTTCAGATGCATATTGGAACTGAAATTGTATCTCTTGTGAGCTGTGTTTCATGCTAGTTATATTGGGAACACATTCATTTATTAAGTCTAGAGCAAATAGTAACATATCGGGCTCAGAGTACTAACTGTAGTATACTTTGAGTTAAGATATACAAAATCAGCTGACATCAGTAATCAACCCACATCTTTTCTGTTGATTATTTGACAAACTGGTCTCTGTGGTCAGTACTGGTCAGATAGATTGGAGATATGATGGTCAAGCTGTCGCCAGACAGACGTCTTTTTTATCTGAAACATTTGACCAAAGGTCAGAATATCTGATCATTAGCATGTCACTTGTGCTGTGCCATGAAAATTATCACATCACGGTGGTGAACATATATATTTATTTATCTCTATTTAATTGTCTTTTCTTAAATTACAGGTAATTAGAAATATAGAAACTGGCACAGTTAGCCCAAATGTTCACACTGTTTGCCATAGCACATTGGTGACATTGATAAAATGCACTGTCCATTATGGAGATGGCTCAAGAGGACTGACCTGATGGTCATCCTGATGGCTGAAATGACCAGTGCTAGACATCAGACCTGACCCTCATGTGTCTTCTTCCATAGGAATTCTAATCAGAGTAATTCTACTCCTGCCAGACCTGTTTTTATGGCAGAACATCCATCAGAAAAAAAAAAAAAGATTTGGATAAGGTTCAGATTTTTTTCTCATCTATTTTCTCCTTGTATGTGGTAATGTAAATGGCTGAAATGTAAACCTGGCATTTAAGACTGGTTGCAAATTGAGTTCAATTAATGACATGTATTATGAATTTAAAGTGGATGAATCCATAGTAATTTTATACCAATGACTCAAAGGCCCCTAATGATTACTTTAGTTACAATGGAGTGATGTGTGAACTCATCCTACACAGGTTTAATTTGATATCAGATGTATCTATCAAGTAACATTCTAAGCAATACTCTTCCTGTTGAGCAATCTGAATTTCTTACCAGATATGAAAATCAATGGATTGAAAGAAACTCAAAATGGGACATTTTGAAAAATGCGATCATTTCTTTATTCATATTCCAAAAATTTCGTTACTTCAAGGTGGTCCCGTTTATGGGCAGAGGGCTTGTCAAAGTCATTACACTAACACTTCATGCTTCCCCAGCATCTTTTTTAATGACTTCAACTGAAGTGATGTGGGCTCACTTGTTGTCATTATGCTCTTTGTCCACCCCTTTACACACCACACAGGGGTGACAGATAGATGTTAAAGGGTTACCAGTTTGGTGACAGGAACACTGGCAGGGGCATTTATGGCTCTACACACATGTGAATATGATAGGACTTTTCTTTAAAAAAAAAAAGCCACCGTGAATAGTTTGCCACATACACATGACTTGATAGGATGCAAAATTGCTGTGTAAGGCAGGTGGCCCTGTTTGCTAGCTAGATAGACAGTGATGTACAAGTCTGCTTTATTGGAGACCTCTTGAAAAGATTTTGAGGAAATTAATCAATGTAGTCTTAAAGGCATTCTTAAAGGCCAAGTGATGGTGCTTGTAATTGTGAATGATAATTTTGAACACCACATACACAGCAAATTGGATTATGTATGTATCAGTAATATGTGTGTGTGTGTGCACTACAGGGAGAAAAGATCAGTTCAGGATTGTACTGACCTAAAAGACTAGGCATAAATTATGAAACTGACTGAACTTGTTTATTCATAGAAATACATAATAACAATAATATAGAAATTAGGCTTTGACTCCATTCTTTGTCATTATTATTGTAAGTCTTTTCTAAAATTCTTGGCCACCAAATTTCCATTTCTAAACACTCAAAGGTTGACCAGATTCAGCCTAGCACAACTTCTTTACAACTTCAATTCTCATCACAATTAATTTTACACTGAATCAGATTAATTTTCTATCTCCTATATACCATATTGTGCCTATTTAATCCACCTATAACACCCCCTGTGAAAGGAGGGGTGAAAGTGGTCATCTTGTCTCCCTCCCCGTCTCAGTGATACTGTGCTGTGCTGATCCTCCTCAAGATGTGGACATTACAGATGAGAGGAGAGTAATCCCACCATGTCTCCTTGCACATGACTCTGGAGTAGGAGCCTGAGTGTTGACAGGTGAGGGTTTAGGGAGGTTTGACTATAGAGCTGGTGAATACCAAATGAGAAGATTACCTCATTGCCTCTGCTTTACCTAATGGGCTGAGGCTTGCACCCTGGGTTTCGGGGGCTTGTAAACTGTGGATGGGTGTGCCAAGGATGGAGGTGAGTTTCCAGTGATCTTTCAAACTCGGGGTGGAGTCTGGTTGACAGGTAGATGACTTTTGGGTCCCTGAATTAAGTGCAGGAAATGATTGGTCTAGTAAATTATTACTTCCTTGGTATATAGCAGTATTCCTACTGGTAGATATGCTGTGGTTTTCCCTTTGTTTTATCATCACTTCCTAATCGGTGTTATCTGGATTAAGCAGGGATGTGATGATGTATGTTTACCTGCCATCTTTTTATCAGATAGAATCTAATTATTTTTTGATTAATTTATACTGATAGGTTAGCCTTGTGAGGAATTTGCCTTCATCCCAGTCCACCTGCTTGCATTTTATCATCAGTCTTTTTTTTTTGTGAATAATCTGTATTTCACTATTTCAAATATGCTATCCTCTGAAAGTATATTTTTCTCTTTGTGAATCTGTTCACAAAGTGGTTGTGCATGAGAATTTATGAAAAAATAGATTGATCCATGTAGCTTTGGAGGAAATGTTTAGACGAAACTCATTCTTAAAAGAGAATACAAGGATATCCGGCTGCACTTTGAAGAGATATCAAGTGCGTTTTTATAGCCTGCCCGGGTTCATTGTTTTACAAGAGAATCCAATTCATTTACAATAAAAAACAGGAAACTGGAATCGTTACTAAAAAATTTTACAAGGTAAAATGAATGGAAGTATGATTGATGGGTGTCCAAGGTAAAAAAAAAGCTGCAGCAAGCCATCTTCATGAAAGGTAGATTGATCAGCTGTCCATCTATGATATTTCAAGTAGAATGACTGCAGCGCTACAAGCTAATACAGATAGCATCCTAGGGTGAGACCACACAAGTTCGATATCAGCTTAAATATCCTGTATCTTCTTTAACACCACTCAACACAATCAGAACAGCAACCATACATTCTATTGGAGATAATAAGCAACTCCAAATGTTTTTTCTATAAATTTTGACATGATAATCATTCAACAAGCAGGGCTGTGATTGAGTAGAAATTGCTAATCTAATCATAACAGGATATTTTTTTTAATGGGTCTCTCTTCATGGTGTAGGCTCTTTTGTTATCTCTGGGTTACAGGTAGATGTACAGGGGCGGGTGATATTGTGGTTCCTGCTGATAACACGATGTCTAGACTGTTACTTCAGCCTCCTGTGATGATGCTTTTATTATTAAATATAATATGTTTGCATATCTGGAAGATGTTGATATGACAGCTGTGTCAATAATAAGTGGGTGTCTGGATGCACACCCCATCTTGTGATATTAAGTGTTTTGAAGAAATGGTGAAATTATGAAGATTGATAAGACTTTTTCACTCTCTCTTATGCTAAGATTGTAAGGCTTTTTTACACCCTCAGTATCAAATGACATTGAAAAAGATAAAATTTGAAACACGTAAGGGTAGACACACACTGAGATATATTTGATTTTATCATGTAAAGAAATAAACTGACATTTTTTAAAAGGATGGGAATAGATCAGTAACAATTTTTATTTAAAAAAAAACTGATTTTGGTGATAGGCCATAATGAGGAATAAAAACACAATTGGGGACAGTTATAGCTAATGGACTTCAGGAAAATACAGCTTCCTTATCCTTTACTCAGCGTCCTCTTCTTCTCTACTCCAGATCCCCCTACGTGTGGAGCAGACCAGTTCAAGTGTTCTAATGGCAAGTGTATACGTCAGGACTGGATATGTGACGGAGATAATGACTGTGATGACCGCAGTGATGAGATAAGCTGTGGTAAGATAGTAAAGAATGCTCTGACAACTTAATTGACATGTATTCATGTTCTTGACTAACCACTACTTTTGTTCATTCATTTTTAGTGTTGTTATAGGACTATTTTTCCATATGTTGTATTTCCAGCTAAAGCCCACTCATAAGACAAAGGTTACATCTTCGTATTAAGAATCAGAATGTCTTTAAATAATATAAAATGGCAATACCATTTTATTTATTTAGTAAAATGGTACCAATTCGGAAACACATGGGTAACCTACATCTTTTGATCTATCAAATCTTTTAGTTTGTCAAGCTATCCCAAGATTTTCAGTATGTCAGATGGCATTAGTATGTAAGTTTAGAACTTGGAACTTTGCATCTCTCTGTTGGTCTGTTATTTTCAGTGTAATTTGTCAGTCAACAGACATGAAAAATGGACAAAGTAGGTCCCCTTAGCCTGTGAAAATGTTTAAATGTCAGAGCCAATATAGATCAATCAAGGTTTCCCATTTAAGTTTGATTTTTGTCGACCACATGTCCTTGTGAAATGCAACATTTTACCTTAAATGTAGAGTTTGACCCATCAGTTCTTTATAGATCTCTAAAATTATAACCCTACTATTAGGTTCATAAATATAAATGTCAATCTACTCAGGATAATGAATGAATGCATTTTAATTGACCTTAAGAGCAACTTTTACGCACATTTTGAAGCTTTATTTTATGGCATTTCAGCAGTAATTATACACACAGCATTCACATGTGTTGTAGTTACAAGATCTTCAAATGATTGTAACAAACTTGCCAAGGCATGTACGCTAATTTTTTTAATCTCTTTAAAGAACACAAGAACTGTACCTCGGATCAGTTTCGATGTCAGAATGGTAACTGTGTGCGTCAACACTGGAGATGTGACGGGGACGACGACTGCGGGGACAATTCTGATGAAATCTGCCGTAAGTATGATATTCACACGAGAATATGTTTGTTACCATCTTTTTTCATTGGGAAATAAAAAATATGAGTTTTGGAAGTGATATCATGAAATAACTTTGTGGGTAGAAAATATCCATAGTATTTATGACTTTGGATCAATACTTATTAGACCAATAGATTGTTAAAGTGATTTTTCCAGTAGGTAAATCAGATTTTATGAAAAACTGCTGTTTTTCACATGATAGGACTTTTTTTAGGGGCACTACATATTTTTGAAGCATTGCTGAGGGTGTTGTTGAACTGTGAAATGAGTTCAGCAGAAGTAAAATTAAATACTAGGTTTTGTAAAATTTTCTTTTGTTTGTGTAGACAAGAGGTATAAAGTTCTAGTGTGCTGTTGTCCAGTGTCGTATCCCAGTCCAAAATCAACATGTCACATGCATTTAAATGATGGGGATTGGCCACTTCAAGTAGAAATGAAAATATGCTACAGTTATGTAGGGTCTCTTCAAAAACAGGAGAGATAAAAGCACTGCAGGAGTTGTGTAGGCACTCATTACACCTTGCAAACCTCTCGACAAAAACAGCCACTTGATACAGAATTACAGGTCTTCAGAAAGTATTAACTTGCATAATACTTAAAGAGGCAGACTGGAATTTGGAAGGGGTATTCAAGCTTACCTTATAATTGATCTCTATGTACAGTTTGAATTCACTGTTTATCGTATTTGAATTGGAATTGTCTGTGGGGAATGCTGAGCCATTAAGAAGGCATTTATACACGGTTTTGACGACCAAAATTGCTTGGTTGCTTGTAGTAATTTGGAGTACGTACAATTTTTCCTTTTTTCAGAGAGAATCTTTGACAGGTGAAGGTTGTTTTTAGAGTATTTTAGCTGTCAGTCACTGCCATATCTGTCACTGAGATGAGGCCATTAGACTGAAATATGGCTGGTATTCTTGTCATAATGATAGATCCAATAGCAGTTGATGGGCATAATTCACCAAGACTGACATAAGCCATGAAAAAGCCCTTCGCATGAAAGTCCCCCCTTCCCTTTAATCCTGATTTCTATAAAAGCTTTGAAATTGTGATATGCCACATCTGAATTTCACCGCTTTCTAAATGATCCATTTGATTTTAATAAGCAGCATAAACTAATATCTATATCCAGTTTGAACTTATCCATTAACTTGAACTTTTGTGAGGTGATGAGAAAGCTGCAAGGCACATTTCAGTTAACTGTGATAAATTTGTGTGCAGAAGGTAGCTTAATTATGATAGATTCATTTAACAGCAGACATCCATGTCTTTTTAACGAGTTACACATATGTTGTGCTTCTAAATATGTATGTTTCTACACCTGATTTAGAATTGAAGGAAACACATTTGCAGCTTAGCATAAACTACTATAAATCATAGCAGATCTTTCTCTTTATTGAGTAAGGTTTTAAAGTAAAGACATAATAGACTCAGAGCATGATTGGTAAATCATAAATTCATACTTCTAACCAAAATATAGTCAGAAAGTACATATGAATCAGATCACCCACACAAATTACAGTCTCAAATAAGCTATATTTAAGTAAGACTTCATGAGAATTTAGTTTGGTAAATGCCACATTTTTATGTACAGACACAGATGTGTCTGTACATATTGCCATCACCTGCGTCTGTCGTCGCCGTCCCTGTCGCCGTCGCCGTGCACTTTCAGCGTTAACACAATAAGTGGAAGACAGTTTTACTTTTTGGCTTTATATTTACAGAGCTGATGAATATTCATAAAACGCAGGTCAAGTTCGAAAATCAGCATGATCGGGCCATTATTGTAGAATTTATCCTGTTTTTTCACTTTTCAGCATATATGCAAAACTGTTAACACATTTCAAGGAAAACCGATAGGCCTGTTGTCATGAAACTCACNACTTTCTAAATGATCCATTTGATTTTAATAAGCAGCATAAACTAATATCTAAATCCAGTTTGAACTTATCCATTAACTTGAACTTTTGTGAGGTGATGAGAAAGCTGCAAGGCACATTTCAGTTAACTGTGATAAATTTGTGTGCAGAAGGTAGCTTAATTATGATAGATTCATTTAACAGCAGACATCCATGTCTTTTTAACGAGTTACACATATGTTGTGCTTCTAAATATGTATGTTTCTACACCTGATTTAGAATTGAAGGAAACACATTTGCAGCTTAGCATAAACTACTATAAATCATAGCAGATCTTTCTCTTTATTGAGTAAGGTTTTAAAGTAAATACATAAGAGACTCAGAGCATGATTGGTAAATCATAAATTCATACTTCTAACCAAAATATAGTCAGAAAGTACATATGAATCAGATCACCCACACAAATTACAGTCTCAAATAAGCTATATTTAAGTAAGACTTCATGAGAATTAAGTTTGGTAAATGCCACATTTTTATGGTTAATTGCTTAAAACAGCTTTTGTTGTTCTTGTTAAGTCCTGAATTGCATGACTTGATGAGTTGAATTGAGGGCAGAGCATTCAGCAATCTGTCACATCATTTTTTTCAAAACCAAACATTTTTCATATTTGTATAACCTGCATATAGTAAATGTGCACATAGATAGTATCTATAATTTCAGAAAAAAAATCACAACAAAAGATATTAAGTGTTTCACTCAGGTGTAAATACAGGAAATCATACTTCTATTTACATTTCCTTTCATATCTCATTTTTTTGATAGGGCTGTCATTATAATGGATGGGAAGCACATATTTTACGTTTACCTCACCTGTCAAATTTGTGAAAAGGTGTGCCACGGTTTTTGTACTTGAACTTCTTCAGTTTTTTCTAAAAGTAAAGACCATGTAAAAGGGTGATGTTACACCTCATCATCTGCTCATTTCTAAAAGCCATACTGCATTAAATTGGTATCTGACTACCAACTCCATCACATTTATTATTAAAATACAGAGTATAAGTTACATAAAAATCAGTTTGATGAAGGTATCATTGGACTTCCTGTTGAGAAATCCTGTTTTTTTTTCATTGTTGTTGCTTAAAAAACATTCAGACTTTTTCTGGTATAAGTTCATCAATCAAGGTAGATTTCTAAATAGCAAAGTTAGATAATGAAAGGTTAACCTTGTTATTTATACTTTTTTCTCTCTCTCTTTCAGCTGAACACCAAACATGTCATCCAAATGAGTTCCGCTGCTCAGATGGTACTTGTATCTCATCAACATGGCGCTGTGATTTTGATGAGGACTGTAAGGGGGGAGAAGATGAACATGATTGCAGTGAGTGTTTTAGATTAGATGACTTGATTCTAGAAGACATTCTTGAGACAAATTGGCATTGTATAGTATGCGTACTCTATTTTTTCTAAAAATTGTTGTTACTATTACAGTTATAATTGTGATTGTGTGGGTGCACATGTGCAAGTTTTATTTTTGGTCAACTTCTAAAAATGACAAAACTTGTTTGTATTACATACACATTACACTAGACAGATTAAATAAGGAATCCATTTCTCCTCTTACAGCTGTTTCACCACACAATTGTACAAAGGACGAGTTCCTGTGTCCAGAAACAGGGCGTTGCATCTTGCACTCCTACCGCTGTGATGGAGAGAATGACTGTGGGGACTGGAGCGATGAAAAATGTGGTAGGTGTGCCCACAGAGTTTATTAACAGAACACCTAACACACTCGTATAACTATAGCTTGTTATTTCAACCAGCAAATTTTTGTTCATTGTTGGCATTTCATTAAAACAGTCTTGCATTTATTTATTGTAAAGACTTCTGTAGCAGTTCACACCATTTCCTTTTATGTCTGAAACAGACTTGCCTTGGGCCTGAGACTGCACGTATGAACTGAGAGAAATAAAGATTCAATACTCTGTTGTAGATAGCCGGCCATCTTGTGGTGATGGAGAGTTCCAGTGTTCTAGTGGGATGTGTATCAATGGAGCCTGGGAGTGTGATGGAGAATATGACTGTCCTGATAACTCTGATGAGCTGCATTGTCGTAAGTTCCATCTAAATACTAACACATTTACCTTTTTAGCAAGACCATCAAGGTGAAAAGTAACTGAAGTTCTTATTCAAATGTTTTCAAGTCTGTAATCATCCATCTTGCCTAGATGATATTTTCTTTGAATTTCATCCTATAATGATGGTCTGTTTGCCAACCTTGCTGTGTAGTTTCTTGTATACATGCAGTAAATGAATTGTCTTTCCTACATGTTCCTCTTTTTGTAAGATTATCACAAACAAATTAACAAAGATAGTAGTTTGCGTAATTTTATGAAACTTTGGCTCATGAATCATCATAACAAGATGAAAATATTTTATTCTTTGAAAAATTTTCAAGACATATTATGTTGATTTCAGCTAGCCCAAGTTGTGGATTTGGTCAGTTCCAATGTGTATCTGGACTCTGTATAAGGGACATATGGCGCTGTGATGGGGAGAAAGACTGTAGTGATAACTCTGATGAAGTTGGGTGTGGTAGGTTTTATCTTTTTCTACTTGCAGGAGTTTCTTTTTGGGGGGGGGGGGGGGCATGTACATGTTAAGGACATGTTATTGTAAAAAAAAATCTACATGCTCTACTAAGCACAGGCATATCAAGTTTGAAAACACTGTTTTTACTATTTGTGAAGTAGGCACCCTTCACCTGACATTTAGCTTGCCCAGAGTATAAAGATGACCATAGGGTTTTTTAAGTCAATTTTCAAGTGCCTGTCAGTGAAATTACCATGCCTGTGGCTCAGGCACTGGGATTTGGAAATCTCTGCCCTGGTGCAATTGATAAGCATTTTGCATGTCTCTTTTGTTGTGATGCTTTTGATGAAATTATTTGAACTACTTTTATAGTATTCTGTTATCAGTAAATGAACCAAAAAAGCTACTTATTAACTGAGCCATTTGTATAATTTCATGGATATAGATATAATTGAACATCAAGTGCAAGCTGTTCTCTTGATTAATTAGGATAATGATAATAAAAACAGTGAATGGTTGTCATCATGATGTTAGTAATTATCTTAGTAATAATGCAAATGGTAATGATCATAGACGTAATCTTGGTATCATTCTATCCATTTTTACCTCCAGTCTATAACAACACCCACTGTGGCAAGGGTCAGTTCCGCTGTGACAATGGCCAGTGTATAGGGAGCAGCAAGGTGTGTGATGGAGAAGACCAGTGTGGGGATGGGTCAGACGAAAAGAAGTGCAGTAAGTTTGTGCAATTTCTCTCATAAATCTGTGCTCCCCAGGGAGATGAAAATATCTACAGCAAGTCTGAATCAGGGCAAAAAATATGCCAGGAATATTGTGAGCTATTGTAAACTGAGACATGGTAAAGTGCATTATATTTACTTTTAACTTTGAATCTGTAGAAATTCAGGTGAATCCTTTGATTATTGTTGTTATCATTTTCTCTCGTAATTTTCAGGTAAATGGAAAGAGAGAGGAAAAGGAAAATGACACACTTCAGAACACATTTGAAATAAGCCTTAAAATGTTAAGATTTGTTTTTTTTATTCCAGTCTCTCCAGCCAGTTGTTCTGCAGACAATGGTGGATGCACTCAGAAGTGCACTAATACCAGGATGGGGGCCAGGTGTACATGTAATGTTGGGTATGACCTCATGATGGACAAGAAGTCCTGTATAGGTAACTCCAGCACTACATTAAATGAATTTTTTATCTTAGCATAAGGGCAGTTATAATTTGGTGTATGAAATGCTTTGCCCTCTTATTGTACTGTAACAGTTTAAGTTGGACATGGTTTGATGGTTTCAACCAATAATTACTTTCAATTCAATTTCAGCAATAATTTTCAAACATAATAGGAATCAAAAATTGTACAGTTTTGTACATAACAACTATTTTTGGTTAATGTATGAAGCTAGGTGAGATAACATGAAACGTTTTTATTTTAGATGTAAATGAGTGTGAGATTGAGGGCAGTTGCAGTCAGCTATGTCACAATACCATGGGTTCATTTCGCTGTTCATGTACCAGAGGTTATGAACTCAAACCAGATGGCAAAGGATGCAAGGCACTAGGTGAGTTGAAATACATGCATGTGTAGGATATGCTGGGTTTTCTATATAAGGAGTTGTTTTGATAATTATCAGACCTACAGTTTGTGGCTGGGCTCTTTTTATTCAACTAAAGATCAAACTAGAGCTGCAAACTTAAAAAGAATAAAAATGTGCAGTAACTTGCATCTCATTAATAGAATTCTCACTGTTTTGTATTTCATTATCTCATCTTAGTGTATATTTTGTTTCTAGGTGGAGAGGCTTACCTCATCTTTGCCAATCGTGTTGACATCCGCAAAGTTCTCCCTGACAAATCGGAGTACACCTCAATCCTGGCAGGTCTGGAGAATGCCATTGCTCTAGACTTCCACCATGATCTGGGCATGGTGTTCTGGTCTGATGTCACTCTGGACAAAATCAAGAGAGCTTACATCAATGGGACAGATGTCCAGGATATAGTGGACACTGGTCTGGAGAGTCCAGGGGGTGTTGCAGTGGACTGGATACATAATAAATTGTTTTGGACAGATTCGGGGACGTCCAGGGTGGAAGTGGCTAATCTGGATGGTAGTCAGCGTAAAGTGTTGCTGTGGGAGAATCTGGAGAAACCACGGGCTATTGCTGCACACCCAGGCCAAGGGTAAGATGTGCACAGAGCATATTAAATTTAAAAAATATCCTGTAGATAGTTTTTAAAACACATTTATAAATGAAACCAAGATATTGTTTGGAATTATTTTTCTTACTAAAGCAAAACAATTCACAGGTAGAGCCAGAATGATTTTTTTTTTACTGACTACTCCCTTCTTTTTTTAATTTTAGGACTATATTTTGGACAGACTGGGGTCAGAGGCCCAAGATTGAAAGGTCCACCATGGATGGCTCATCAAGAGACATTCTGGCAGAGGAGAACCTGTTCTGGCCCAATGGTCTGGCCATAGACTATGCTGCGGACAGAATTTACTGGGCAGACGCCAAGCATCATGTGATCGAGTGTGCTGACCTGGATGGAGCAAATAGGAGGATAGTATTGGATCAGGGTAAATAGAATTATTATACAGTGTTTCATTTGTACTTGGGTTTAACTGAAGTACAAATCTGTTCATTAAATGAAATTTAAAAATAAAGATCTACTATTGCTATGCAATAACTATAATAATAATGAAACGAAGACCTTATTTTGTTGGTATTTGTCATAATTTGCAGAGATCACTCTGTTCCAGGTCTTCCACATCCATTTGCTGTGACATTGTTTGAGGATGAGCTGTATTGGACAGACTGGCATACCAAGAGCATCAAGAAGGCAAACAAATTTAATGGGAACTCTGTGGTAACAGTGAGGAACAGGCTGCACTTCCCTATGGACATTCACACTTTCCACCCACTGAGGCAGCCTTCTGGTGAGATCATTTTGTGTGAATTAACACATTTTAAAGTTTTTTTTTTCATGGTGACTCTTTAATGCTTTGAAGAAATTAAACATGATTATTATCATAATTTTTTCAGTCTAGAGACATTTACAAAATTTTATTTGATTCACAAATGTTTCTTAAGAAATTCTGTATTAAAAACTCTACAATGACTGTTTTTATTGCAACAGTTGTGGAATATATTTTAATATAATAACCTTTTATAACTATTTGCACAGCTGTGAACAGGTGTGGCATGAACAATGGTGGCTGCAGTCACCTGTGTCTTCCAAACTTAGACACCTATTCCTGTGGATGTCTCACTGGCTACAGACTGTTGCCTGATAACAGGTCATGTGCACAAGGTGAGGGGACTCATCAACTAATTTTGTCAAGAAAAAAACTTTACTGAAAATTTTCAGTTGTTTTTATTATTTAACAGAAATTCACCTTAAAGAATTTGAATGCTTACTCAGACATACTGAAACTGTCGGTCCGATCGGTCATGACCGGCAAAATTTGTCTTAACCGGTAAAAAATTGGACTTGGTTGGTCCAAAGGACCGACTGGAGTTTTAAGAACCACAATTTTGAATTTACAGTAATCATTCGACATACTTCACTAATAAAATTATATAAAACCCAAAGCGTTTTCCCCTTCCATTTCAGTCCGATCACATTCACAAACAAAGTAAGCTACCTAATTGTAGTATCCGTCTCAAACGAATAGGGTGATTTTGGGCAAAAATCCATTAGGTCCGGCAAATTTTTCATTATTGGCGGTTCAAATGTCTGGCCATTTTGAAAAGTTTTCAGCATGTCTGCTTACTCAAATTTACCTGAAAGGATTTTTAATGCTTGCTTACTTATTTGATGTCTAAAATTTGAATCAGATTTTATAGCATATTATATCTTTGTTTTCAGAAATTGAGAAATTTCTCCTGTTCTCTCACCAATCAGACATCCGTCGTATTTCATTTGACACAGAAGACAAGACTGACATAGTTGTACCTCTCAGCAATGTGCAGGGTGCCTTAGCATTGGATTGGGACAGTCAGGACAAACACATCTACTGGACTGATGTTAAAATGGAAACTATCAATAGGGCATTGTGGGATGGATCATATGATGAGGTAGAAATTAATGATATATATAGATCCATGATAAAGAAAATGCTTAAAGGGTGTGCCAAAAGAATTGAATAATATCAGTTTTCACTTACTCTTTTCCAACTTTTGTAAATTTAATTTAATTTTTTTCTATACTATCAAAATGAGTGTTTTAAGAATCTGACTTGAAATTTCTGTAGCCAAAATACTTGAAAATCATAAATGAAGGATAAATTTCCCTTCAAACTAGGACCTAGCAGTTTAATTTAAAAATCTGGCTTGTGGCAGATCAAAAACAATTTTGGAAAAAAAAAATGTCAGAGAGGGATTACTTCATACCATCTCACCCAAATTGTTATCACTCAGATAATAGTTGGCAGCAGCCTGGAGAGCCCAGCAGGCCTGGCCTTGGACTGGGTGACTAGGAAACTCTACTGGACAGATGCAGGCACAGATATGATAGAAGTCTCTAACCTAGATGGTACTATGAGAACAGTGCTGGTCTGGGAGGACCTGGACAAGCCTAGGGACATCATTGTGGATCCTGCATCAGGGTGAGTCTAAAGAGATAATATGCCATGAGTTACCATTGTAGATCTTTTGTTACAGGGAACGTAGAGATGTGATATACCAAGGGGTATCACTGTGGTGTGTGTAACTAAGGGTCAGTCTGGGAGGATGTGGCCATTTGTGCCATTTGCCTTACGGTTAAAATAGATGATAATTTTTTTTAATTTTGTAAACTTATTCTGTATATTTCTTATAAGGTACATGTATTGGACAGATTGGGGCAGGCTTCCTAAGATAGAGCGTGCAGGAATGGATGGGCAGAACAGGTCCATACTGGTCTCTCAGAACTTGACCTGGCCCAATGGGCTGGCCATTGATGTCCAGAGCAGGAGGTTGTATTGGGTGGATGCTGGTCACCATGTCATTGAGCACGCTGATCTGGATGGCTCTAATAGAAAGGTAAGGCCCTGGAAATTGTGAAATGGATGCATAGGAAGGTGCCCTATCAAGATTGCAAACAAACAATATTGCATGAGCTAAAAGATTAATATAAAAGTACATAACCACACGTCCTCTATTTCCTTTGGTGAACAATTTTTGTTGACATTGAATTTTTGTTTGTAAATTTAATTAGTATCTTATTAAAACACTCCATCTTCTTATAGTACATTTCTGTTTGTCACATTTCAGATCTTGCTGGCAAGTGAAGTACCACATCCATTTGGCCTGACAGTGTATGAAGATAATATTTATTGGACTGACTGGCAGACAAAGAGTATTCATGTTGCTAACAAACTCACTGGAGGAAACAGGAGTGTGCTGGTTCAGGGCCTGGACAACCTCATGGATATCCATGTGTATCACAAGGGCAGGACTATGAGTAAGGTTCCCTCTGGTGGAGTTCAATTTGTGGGATAGAAAATAAAATTTGGATAAGAGTCTGGTAGGAGAAATATAATATTGAACAGGAGCAGGATTTAAAATTTATTTACTTCATACTTTTTTTGTTATTCATGGTAAATTTTGTTCCTGAAAATTAAAAAAAAAAACACAAAAGTAATCTTAATCCACATAACAATTAAATTTTTTCCTCTGATATCTTAGTCCCAAATGCCTGCATGGTAAACAATGGAGGTTGCAGTCACCTGTGTCTTCTTGCCCCACCTCCCAGTACTCACACCTGTATGTGTCCCACTGGAATCCACCTGTTACCAGATGGCAAGACATGTCAGCCAGAACTGAACCAGTACATCATATTTGCTCGTAAGACAGATATCAGGCTGATTTCCCTGGACGTGCCCTACTATGCTGATGTGGTACTGCCTATAGAGGGGCTGAAGAATACTATTGCACTGGATGTGGATACACAGGAAGGTTAGTACATGTATGACGTACAGAGATGTTATACATATTTTTATCAATGGATGTGATAATTTTATGGGAATATTCTTCGTTTATTTTGAAACTTTTAGTGAAAAAGTCTGATGAGTTGTTTTCCCGTGTTTAGTAATTTTATTTGAACTTTGTGTGTAATTTTAGTCTATGAATATTTTAGTAAAGGTCCCTCTCCAAACAGAATGATGTTATTTGAATTTTCACCTCTCTAAATGTCATCTGAATAAAATTATGAATAAAGAGAAATATTTCAAGGTTTTTTTTTTTTCTTTTTCAGGCAAAGTATACTGGGCTGACATTGGCCTTGACAAAATCCAGCGAAGTAACTTGGATGGTTCTGATGTAGAAGATGTCCTGACTCAGGGCCTGAAGACCATGGACGGCATTTCACTGGACACTGTGGGTCGTAAGATATACTGGACAGATACTGGACGTAACAGAATTGAGGTGGCCAATCTGGATGGCAGCATGAGGAAAGTCCTCTTCTGGCAGAACATAGACAATCCTAGAGCTATAGTGGTAGACCATAACACTGGGTAAGTGACTAGAATATGCCTTGCTTTGTTTTTGTTTTCTTTTTTTTTTTTTTTTCTAATCTAATTATTTTGTTATCAAAGAAAGCTTATACATTGGCCATTTTTAAGTGCTCATTATCAGTTGAATATTTCTACTTCCTGGACAATGTGACAATTTTGGTTATACATAGATTTTGCCTATGAGAAGAAGTCAATAATAAACAAGTCTTATGTAAGTCCATTCAAATTAAGCACATTAAAACATTTTTTCTGCAGATACATTTTCTGGGCAGACTGGGGTAGTGACCCAGTCATAGAGAGGGCTGACATGGATGGTGAGAACAGACAAGTACTGGTCACTGACAACTTGGGGTGGCCAAATGGACTGGCACTGGACACAGAGAATGCCAAGATCTACTGGGCAGATGCCAAAACTGAAGTAAGTTATTTCTTTTAGATACAATTTATGCAGTTATTATTATTATTTTATTGCAATGAATGTGAAGAGGAACTTAGATACGTGTGTTGAATGCTATTGTCCCTTCTTGTAGATGCTGGAGTGTTCAAACCTTGATGGCAGTAATCGCAAAATAGTTGTGTCAGGCTTACCCCATCCTTATGGCTTGACCATTTTGAATGACCATGTATATTGGACAGACTGGCAAGCCAAGGCCATCAAGAGAGCAAACAAATTAACTGGGGTGGATGTAACGGTTATTCGTGAAAACATGCCCGGACTAATGGACTTGCATGGAGTACAGAAAATGGAGCAAAAGGGTAGGTGGCATAGGGTTAAATCTGTGCTAAATAAAAGCCACTAAAATAACATGACTATCATTCTAAGGTGTTACAATGTTCTTACTGCTTTTTTCATCGACATGCATTACTACTGCTTTATCTTAGGCTAAAGTGGAGTAATATTCCTTAAGTGAAGACAAACTTTTGAGTTAAGTTCCCATTTGAAATCTGCCCTTTGGTATATGTCTTATAAAAAAGTTGATATAATCTGCAAGTACATGACAAGTACATGATGACAGTTTTATGCTTGGTGACAGTTTTTGCCCATTTATTTGACAATAGATTCATAACCCTGAAATATAAAAAACTAGTTGATCTACCATTGCAAGGAGCCACACTGAGAGTTGATTTTGTCAATAACATATAGGTACCAGCAGATGTGGTTCTTACAATGGAGGTTGCAGCCATCTTTGTTTACCTAATCCTGGAGGTTTCAGCTGTGCCTGTCCCACTGGAATACTACTGAAGCCTGATGGAAAGACATGCTACAATGGTATGTATTGCTCTCCATTTGGTACAAAACAAAATAAAGATTGCTTGTCAGATATACATGCATTTTGATACAAGATTACCCAGAAAAATAAAATAAGTACCAAGTTTTAAGATTGCTTTGTTGATGATGTGAACTGACATATCAAAAACTTTTTCCTTAAGGTGTAAGTCATTTGGCGACATTAAAATATATATATATATATTTGTACAATTCTTTTAAACATATGTCCCTTGTTGGTAAAAATGTATTGGCAATATAAATGATTAAACTTATTTCTTGGCAGTTCCTACCACCTACATGCTGTTTGCTAGCCGTGACAGTATCCAGCGTATCTCCATGGACACACCAGATAGCACAGAGGTCTTCCTCCCCCTACCAGACCTCAGCAATGTCATAGCTCTAGATGTGGACTATGCTGACCAGAAACTCTACTACACTGATGTACATCTTGATGTCATAAGGTGGGTATTGGCAAAGGGATATAAATTGTAATTAAAAGATTTGTTTTTCAGTTAAGTTTGTATTATAGATCAGTGATAATTTATTGAATTTATTATTTTTTTTGTCTGTTAAATATGACAAAGTTGTGAGCAAGGAATGTGCTGATCAAAAATAATAATAACATTTTTGATATTCTTATCAGTCAAGTCTTTTTGGTACTTGATGTAAAAATATCATTGGGTTGCTGTTATGGTTCTTCCAGGAGGTCCAACTTGAATGGCACTGGTGTTGAGACCATAGTGAGCTCTGGACTGACCACAGCAGATGGCCTGGCAGTGGACTGGCTAGGGAGGAACCTGTATTGGACTGATACAGGTACTGGTCACCCTGCTGCCTCTCGGTCAAATAGAACAGGTGATATAGGCATGGACAGCCACAGCATAGAGGGACAAGGGAACTTGTACTAATCTCAGCATTCATTCTTATGATATGCTTATCTAAAGGAATTGAAGTCTTAAAAATAATTTTAAATAGGCAGTGCTTCTGGTGGTGGGAGTCCATTTCCTATATTTTGGTTTATATATGCTCAAGGCAAAGGATGATGGTCTCTTTTGGGTTGTGGTTGTGGACTAACTTTGGAAATTATTAAGACAGGAATGTTCTATTTCCATGGGTATTTAAGGTCATATTGGTGTAGTTTGGTCATAATTGTGTTCAGATGTGACCAGGTGTCCCAAACACTTTCATGGATACAGATTTAGTCTTCAGACCAGCTCACTAACTAATGATAACTAAATGACCTGTACACAGAATATGGCACAGCTAAGTTTCATAGGGCAACTTGGCATTTACTGTAAGTAATGTAACTTTCTATGTCACTTATGCATTGAAGAGATCCAGTCTTTGCAAGCCTATCTGATTAATTCGTTTTTCATATCCTGTTAGTGATTTAATCGTAATATTTTATCTATCAGGTCACAACACAATCCAGGTGTCTAGACTAACAGGATGCTGCAGAAAAACTCTCATTAACACTAGGTTGGATGAACCACGAGCACTGGCAGTATTTCCTGTTAAAGGGTAAGCTTCACATTTTTTTAAACGTAATATACAATTTTAAACAAAGTTCAATGAACCAAAATAACAGGAAAACAAGCAAAAATGTCCTCTTCAGGTCTTGAAGAGAGAATTTTGCAAAAGCAATTAAACCTGGGTTTGAAATAGGTATCCCACCTTTTCTGTATTACAGTGGAAATTATATACATTTCTTCATCTTCCAGGTACATGTTTTGGACAGACTGGGGCAACACTCCAAAGATAGAGCGTGCCTTTATGGATGGCACTAATCGCAGGGTTCTCGTCAACACAGAGCTAGGGTGGCCAAATGGACTGGCACTTGATTATGAAATGGAGAGGATATTTTGGCTAGATGCAAAACTGGACAAGATTGAAACTTCTGACTTAAATGGTGAAAACAGAGTGCTTCTGATAAGTGGAACGCAAGGGGTGCTTGACCATCCATTTGGCATCACTGTGGTAAGTCTGATTGCATCCTTTTCATATTGGATAAAATATTTGATAAAGCTGGCATTTCAATGGTTGGGTGAACCCTCAAGATAACTACCTAAAAAAATAGATCTTTTCAAAATTCTGATAATAGTGTATTATGTTCATATGCACCAAAAAAAGAATAGAACAATTTATTTTATGTATTAATGAGAAAATTCTATAACATCAGTAAAAAAAACAAATAAGTAAATAAATGGGCCATCAATTATACATTGGGTCTTATCATACTTGGTTTTAGTTTGGAGAGCATGTATACTGGACAGACTGGCAGACACAATCTATAGACAGAGCCAACAAGAGAACTGGGAAGAATCGAACTGTCATCAAAGATAACTTGGAAGGTCTGATGGATGTGCTGATTGTTTCTCCATTAAAACAGAGTGGTGAGTTGCAAGTTTTTAAACATACCGTGTATAGCTAATACATTCAATGGGGGTGTAATCTAAAATTGTAGAGTGTGAATGAATAAATAAAGAGAATAAATTTTTAAAACAATCCCTTGAATTTAAAGATTTGTGTCAAAGTAGAGCATATCTTTTTTTAAACTGATTTCAAATGTTCTGATTGATAAATTGACCAAAATTCATAAATTCTGTATGTGATGTGTTGATCTTGCTCCAGGTACTAATGCCTGTCACATGAATAATGGAGGTTGCTCACACCTTTGCCTGGCTAGACCAGATGTGGGCTTTGTGTGTGCTTGTCCCACGGAACCAGACGACAGGCCTTGCTCTACAGGTAATGTGCACTGAATTATTTCAGTCACATTTTGGTTGAGTGTAGCTATTTAATAGTCATATTTACGGGTTATATTGTATGAAGTTATAAATCCTCAGAATAAATAAGAATAATTTAAAACTGAAATCCAAAGATATGTTCAAGAGATTGCCCCTTTCCATTCTTTAATTTTTAAACCCAATTGATTTTCCTAATAGAAAATATGAAATATAATGAATAATTTCCCTATGTAATTTTCAGTGCCAGGGATATATATAGTAGATCCTACAAAGAATAAAAAGTTTGACTATGGCAAGGAGTGGAATGTTCCTCCTGCTATACCAGATACTCTGCCAGATACAGGGCAACATGCAGATGGGTAAGAAAACACACTCTTATCAAAAAACATAACCAATTTCTTTTTTGACTGTTTGATGTTGGATCAGGTTAGTTTATAGTTGGTGAAATAATATGGATTATTTTCCAACTAAAAAGCCCATTTAAATTTGATGCTGGATTTGAACTTTTTAAACTGGATTCAAGTAAAGTGGTAGTTGCTTCCACGATTTTTGTTTATTTCTAGTTTTACACAATAATTTACATTTATTATTTCTTGTGCATTAGGTGCTCTGAAGAAGACTGGCGGCATGGGCTATGTAGTGCAGACAGTAAGTATATATGCTTATTCCTTGTTATTTTCATAATGCCTTTTTGTAAAATTGCTTTTAATAAGGCATAAAAAGTATTAATTACTTAAACTCATAGTGATGTGTATGTATTTTAAAAGGAAGAAAATAGAATGTTTTTGAATGTCTCTTTCGTATCTTTCATCTCTTTGTTTTTGTGTTGTTGTTGGATAAGTATGTTTGGTGAAATTCATTGAATTTGATTTAGATTTCAATGTGCTGTTTGTATTTTCCAGACAGTGGAGTCCATGCTGCATATATTTCATTAGCAGTTGTTATTTTACTCATTCTTGGAGGAGCTGTGATATTTCTATTGATCTGGAGGAGGTAGAGTACAGCATTATTATCACTTCTTATCCTATTTGTCATAATAATATTTGAAATATTCTTTCTTTACTCACATTACATCAAAAGATGAGAAGCCATTAACATTTGTAATATTTACACTTCAAATTTTTTCAAACTTGATCTTATTATTACACATTCAACAGGATCGAGTTAAGATATAATATGTGAAATACATGTGTGGCTTACACAAGTGGAACTTACATACTCTGTAACAAGTGTTGTATTAGATTGGACAAATGATGGCCAGCTTCGGGTCAAAGGCACAATGCTAGTTACAGCATGTCTAGGCCTTTTGTTCATCTAGTCATCCATAGTATTTTACATGGTATAAACCAAACAAATAATCATCAATGGAAAATGGTCTGAACTGTTATTTGATATTAATATTTTCCCCTTTTACCACTTCCTGATAGGAAAAGGAGAAGAGAAGAAGACTCCATATCATCTGAGGCAAGGCTTACCTTTTCTAACCCCACATACCATAAAACTAGTGATGAAAGAATAAATATAGAAAGAAGAACAAAACCTTGGCGTCTCTTTCGATATGACACTGCTGAGGTAAGTTTGCCTTGCTCTTTACCTGATACATTCAGCTGATAATCTTTTTTTTTTTTCTAGTTTATTGCAAGCTGAATTCTCACTATTTTTGAGTCCATCTTGTACAGCTAGCTGGCTCACATAGTCTGGATCTGGTATTAGTGTGGGCATCTGTACAAGATTAGAACTATATGTAACAGTCTCTTTGTACATCCTTTGGTATTAAAAGATGATAGAAAATTCTGTTGGTCAGGAAATTTGTTCTAAGTTGAATTCTCATATTTTCTGTTTTAGGAACGCCTGTCTATGTTGGCTCCCCCAGTTCCTCCAAAGCCAAAGGAAAACTTAGCCTCTCAAGAAGCAGCAGCATTAATGAAAGCAAAAGACAGTGACTGTGATTGTGAAGGTTGTGAGACGCCCCCTCCAACCCCACCAGAGAGAATAGACAGTAAAAATATATTCATTCAGGATGAAGTGAAAGATTCTAAAGACCCACGTTTAGAAGATGACACATATGAACCAGTGGAGACTCAGATCTAGCAATATTGAGACTCGTTTCAGCAGCACCCTTTTTAATGGCTGCTGAAACATAGGGAATATTTATAAAAATTTATTTATTATTTATAATTTTTGTGTACATTTTGTAAAAAAGATCAAACATCTTCCACTGCATTTGTGCCATATATGCTTAACTTTGTGTACAAACTTTATCCACGTAGTGCATTAAAGGGACCAATCATAGTTAAAAATCAAAACCATCACTGTTTGTAAACGGGAGAATTAACTTATATGTAAAAGTGTTTGAATATATGCATTGTTCAGTGCAATTTCAATTTAATATATGGTGTGCTACTATTTCTGTAATTGGTACATTATATTGGACATCCAATAGTTTCAATGTTATGTTAGTACATGGTAGCATGTATGTACAAGTTTAACTGTGAACCTTTTTTTTCCTAATTCTTGTTCTCATTCAGCACAAATAAATTAGGGTGCAATTTAAGGCTGAATTTTTACCTGTTAAGACCTCCAGATAATAAACATTGCTTCAACTTTTATAATTTTTGCCAAAATATTTTAACGTGACTGTAAGATTTTATAGCAAACATTTTTACTTTTATTTTTAAATTTAAACTGTATAACTGATAAAAGTATGCACAATGAGTACTTTTCTCTTTCAGTTAAGAGGATATGAATGTCTATGTAAATTTAATGCTAAATGAGATAACCCTAAAAGGGTTAAACAGTGAAAAAGGATAAAATAGATGAGTTGTCTGAGACACTACTCAGTGTATTCATTTTCATTATAATGAAAACGCTCCAAAGTTCTATTGAAATTGTAACAGTGCTATCCTGTAAGATCTAGTCATTGAGCGTTGTCTTTCAAAATGAGTGTTATATTTGCCTTATGCTTTAGGGATACAATTAAGTATGTCATACATTGTACCTCCAAGGGTTGTTAGGTTAGCATAACCGGGTAATTAATTTATGTCAGTGTTCAATATTGATATCTGAAAGCGTGAACAAATAGTTTTTTTTTTTTTCAAATGAACTTTTTTTGTGCAGATAATGTTCAATTTTTTCTAAGTAACTTAATTTACAAGTTATAGATCGGCATAAAACATTTTATATATACATATTAAAGGCAATCTGTTTATCTGCTGTTTGAATGCATTTGTATTTTGTGTCAGTCTGTATATATTTTTATTGTTATTAAAAATAACATTTTTAAAGAATGGATATTGAGTTTTGAGTTATTTGACTACCAGCCATATCACATTCAACATCTCAAGAGTTTAGGAACATACTGGTACTTTCTGTACATGCACGCACAGACTTGAAATAAGTTCAGAATCTTTTAAAATTTCAAAACTAAACAGTACTTCTATGGAAATTAAGATAAAAACAACCACAAAAACATCCCTGGATAAGTAGTGTCAGCTTTCATTCAATCTGCACCACACTTACTAGTGTGCAATTATGCTGGACCCCACTATCCACTAAACTGCTCGATTTTAGGCCCATCCTGGATGATTCCTATTATATGTCTCCTGTCTCATTCAAGTAAGCACATTACTTTGTTGTTTCATTATAAGAGCTGTGTTTTATAAGACATACAATATTTAAAAGATCAAACTGTAACATTCAGCACAGGTCAATGGTGATACAGTTCTAGATTATTTGTACTCTTGCTTATTTTAAAAAAATACTTATAACAAGAGGGTATTGATGTAGAGACCCGTTTTGGCTGCTGTTTTCTTTTTAACATTTAGGTATTTGTGGATGAAAAAAGGGTAAAATTGTTTGCAAAACCTGAAACATCAAGTCCCCAAGTTTTGAGTGTCAGTCTATTGTACGTCATACTAATATATTATATAATTTTCCAATATAAAAGGTGGGGGGAAAGTGCTCTAAAAATTGTCTGCAGTATCTCATCGTCATCATCATCATCATCTTTATTATTATTATTATTATTATTATTACAGCACGATCTTTATTTCTTGTAGAAACTTGTTACATGACATTCCACAGACACCTTAACTCGCTGCGCTATTTATTAGGAACTGGCCTGTGGTGCCATTTTGTTTTTCAGTGTTGCTCGTGACCTGTAATGCCGTTTCCGCTATCTTCTGACCTGTCCTGCCGTTTCTTCCTGTGCGAGTCTGCCTCTTCGAATTTGGAGGCGTGAATTGTTCACAATCTGATCTCCATATAGAGGAGAGTATCAAAAGAAAATAATGGCAGAAGCGGACTCAAAAAGTTCGGGGGTCCATTATGTTCAATTATCAAAACATCCAATCCGTTTTGAGCCTGTCAGTCAGCTAACAAATGTATTCTTCGATGAAACAAATAAGCAGGTGAGTAGTATCGTCTGTGATACGACTGAATGAGGCAATAATCATTTGCTCTTTGAAAACAAAAACTGCTCTGACAAAACTAGTAAAACTAGCACATTGTTGTTAATCACTGATGAGCGGAATTATTTAATTTTATTTTGAGAGTCTTGCAAACGGTAGATCAGGCCACATATCAGAATGCTATAAACCAGTCGTGTTTTGATATTTATTTCTTGTGTTTAATTATTTGTAAGTTCATCCTAATACCAAGTTGAATTACATGTATTTGAAATAGTGTATTGATAATAAACAGTATAAGAGAAAGAAACAAAAAGAAGTAAAATATGTTTCCATATCAGGTTTTTGCAGTGCAGTCACAAGGTGCTATGGGGGTTGTGGTGAAAGGTCCAGATGATAAGACGAATATAAATTTTAGGTGAGTATATACTGTATATATATATATACTATAGTATTACATTGTTTATTGAATAATGTAATGTTGCTGTTACACATACTTGATTGAAATTACAATTAAAAAGAGCACTAAGATTTCACTACACCTTGACATTTCAATGTCATTGAGTAGAGAATTGCTGACTGTAGCCATCTTTTACGTGACGTTTTGGGCTACTGCAGTTTGTGTTTTATTCCGAATATTCATAGTACTTACAGTTTAATCTTCATATTGTTTTGTCAAAGCAGTTCAATTTATAACCACAGGTTTTCAAAAACTAAAAGCCGTAGGTGAGCATGATATTATCATGTGCATTTACTTTGTAACCCTGTCCCATAAATATAAATAAGAAATCTGTGTCCTTTCCTGCTTTCCTATAATGCTGATAATTTTTGTCTGATTGCTTCTTTTACCAACTCTATATTGAATCAAAATTGCTGTTATTCCTAACTGCAGTACTGTTTTGCCATCACATGGATTTAACCAGGATCTGGCACATTATGTACCCCAAGGTTTTTTTTTCTAGATTTGGGACTAGTAAAAAGATATGGGCTAAGCCACTTTGTTCTAAGATAATAGGACCTTTTTTCATGAAAATACCTCAATCCATTTTCCAAATGGAAATCTTCTAACCAACCATTACACCTATAAATACAATTTAAAACACCAAAGCATCCAGTATTTGAAAAATGTAAAAGATTATTAAAGAAAAAATAACTGTAAACTAGTAACTGAGGCTTACATGCCAGTTGTCATGATATGGATATGCCACTGCATTATTCAGACCTTCCCTTCTTAAGCAGTTAAGACATTAGTAATAATAATAATTACCCTCTCCCCAATTTTTATCTGATTTATTATCAACTGTTATCAGTTGGCTTACTAACTGATCCATGAAATCTGTTTGATAACTGATATTATCATAGTTATATACTAGTATGTAAAATGTGAAGGTAACTGCCTTAGTCTTCACTCCTTTGTTTGATTGAAAAATAATAACACCTCTGTTGTACCATGAAAATATTTTTTAATAAACGAAACATAATATTTTAATTTTCCTATTTATTTGCAGACTATTTATATTTTTAATTAGATTAAAAATTTTTTTTTACATCAAGAAACCAAATGTTTAGGGTCAGTCTGAAGTATTACCATGATAAATATGGCCATTATTATTTTCAGAATGGAAGACAGGGGAGAAGTGATATCTATCAAATTTTCTTATGACATGTCAGTTTTGGCAATACAAAGGTCGCAGAAGTCAGTGGTGAGTTTTAGAAGTTTCTGTAATGGTCACCTTTACAAAAAATTTAAAAAATGAAGAAAGTGAATAAAGATAATAGATTTTCTTTCATATTGAACTTATGTGTTTTTAAGCTGTATTTCTTCATTCATTTACTGTGGGATCTGACAAAATTTCATTTGCTAGAATGGCCTTGACAGGACTTTCAAACTTTCTATTTTCAGGAATTCATGAACTTTACAGAGCACTCAGACAGAGTAGAATATTCACAATCATGTCGCGGCAAAACAACCAATATTATAGGTTTCCATTGGACAGCTCTAAATGAGATTGTATTTGTCACAGACCATGGTATTGAGTATTATCAGGTGAGTGAAAATTGCAGCCAGGATATTTGAATATTTTTGGAATACTCCTAAATGAAAATTACAGACAAAAGGAATTTATTGATTATAATGGTAGTGGATACATTCACTTCGAAATGCCTGTATAATCCATTCTCTTTGGTTTAATGATATGTGAATATTAATTGTATTCTGTTGTTTATTTTAAGCAAAGCATTTATTAAGTTTTTTTTTAATTTCACAATATATTTCCTTTCATTAAAATAGGTGATTCCAGAGAAGAAAACACTGAAGTGCCTTAAGAATCAAAGCGGTCAAGTGAATTGGTTTGTTTGGTCGGTAAGACAAATTTTTCCTTTACTTCATATCAGTAAGTTTTATATATTAAGTGCTTCCTTTAGTGCAGAATTTTTTAAATAATTTATGCCTTCATATTTATATACACTAGGAATTTCCAATTTTGTATGTTGGAAGAGACTAGATGAATTTTGGAACTGATAAAACATAAGTATTCCAAGAGAGATAAACTAAGAACAAATTTAGTGTTATCATTTGGTGCATATCTTCAACCATAAAGGTTCTTAACTCTGTATTTTTATTTATGTTTTAGCCTGAATCTGCTGTGATGCTACTTTCATCAGGGCCTCTTGGAAATATCATCAATCCTTTCCACTTCAAGGTAAAAGAGTATTAGTTGTTTTGAGAATAGATTATACATGTTTTGTGTTTTGAAAATCTCCAAATTCACAAAACAACTGAGTTAAGAAAAATTAAGTAAAGACTTCACTTTGTTATAGTGGTAAAAGAATGGAATTTTTTTTCTTTAAGTATATAGATCTCATTTATCATATTTTAATATCAAAATTAATTCCTTTGCCTATTGAAGACAAACACTACAATTTGATAATCAGAAATTACAGGTATAAACTTGTTCAGTATCCAACTCCAAGGGAAGTGACCCTTAAATGACCCATTATATGTTCTTTAATATTCACATTTCTTCAAGATACCTAGTTACCATAGCACAAGCACACTGTTAGTAGTGATTAAATTCGTATTCAATTGTTTTAGTCTGGTCAACTGTACAAACTTCCTAAGTTTGAAGTGGACCTGCCTGTGATCCCAAAGCCTCCAAAGTTAGTGCTACACGAGAGAGATGTCACAATGGCACAGATGTAAGCTTCAAATCATTTACTTTATCTGCAGAATTCACAACAAAGTTGATCTGCAGACTAACAAATCTGTGGATCAAATGTTATGACACACCCACTTCAAAGCATGTGGCATAATCCCCTGATAGACACTGAATAGATTCCCCATGGGGATTATGCAGCAAGCTTTGTAGCTTTCTGTTAGTCTGCGGATCAACTGTGTTGTAAATGTGGCCTTAGATTTTTTTTCACTCAAGTTGGAAATGGTTCTAGACAAATCTGTGTCTCTTAAGACTGATAATTTTTATGTGAAACTTTTGAAGAGAACAGGACTAATGGTACATACAGTTGGGGCACATGGTCACTGACATTTAGTTCGAGCATGTTATATTGCAGGTTTCTAATAATCACATTGAGCATGTTGAATATTGTTTGCTAGGCATTGTAAAATCAGTCTGATAACATGATTCAGACATTTTTGATTCTGAGGATGGAAAGAGTTTCATTTGAGTTCACATCAGCAAAATCATTATAAATACCATGTGGTGAGCAGCTTTTTCAAATTTAGAGTTATGGCAATTTATGATCCATTTCGCATATTATATACTGGTGAAAATGTAAGTTCTTTTATGTTTTCTTTGTGGCAGCTATGGTGTGCTGTACATATGTGTCCTAAGACATCACACAGTAGCTGGTAAACTGACTGCAGAAATAGTGTTGTATCACCTTCAAAGGTAAGTGCTACCTGCATTAAGCACAGCAGTCAATTGAACATGTTAGTATAAAAACTGGACCAGCCATTACCATAGTTAGGTGCTTTTTAGAAGTTTAAATTGTAATTTGAGATAATGAAGAAAACTGATAAAAGGATGGTATTGATATCTTACTGTCATTGTTTGATATTTTTAATTGTTTATGATATGCAGGTTTAAACTCAAGATTTATTATTTTAGAGAGAATCCAGCAAGGAGGTCCTGTGTGCTTAGGCTTAACATGAGTGGGAGGTTTGCTGTCAACCTTGTGGACAATATCATCATTGTACATCATCAAGCATCTAAGGTAAAGTGGGCAAGAGTCTTTGTTCTCTTATTTGATTTTTGTCAATAGTCAAATAGTGTTAGTATTTAACAGGATTTTTTAAAACATAGATTTGGATATTATTATTTAAATCTGTTCAGTAATAAATTGATGAAAGTAAATCATGATTTTTTTCATGCTCCAAAAAGTTGACTTCCTACCCTTAAAAAACTTTTGCTGGAGCATCAAATTTTGAAAATCAAACAATAATGAATAAGAACAGAATTGAACAGGGTCAAAATTTCACTCTCTGAATCCTGTGATTGCAGACATCCATGTTGTTTGACATAAAGTCAGGAGGGGAATCAGATGGTTATGTTACATTTTATGATCCACTGGTCCCAGCTAGTCCTATTAGACCATTTATGATCAGAGCTCCATGTAAGTACATTGGTTCTGGGTTGATTCTTCACACTAAGGACAAATAAAGATATAATTGTCAAACATTTGGCCCTAACTTAGTAGTATTATCAATTGTTATTGAGTTTATGATAATATGGAAATATGGAATGTAATTTTGTAAGGGTATGAATGTATTTGTGCTCCATTTTAGTGATAACGTGAGAATTAGCTGATATTTTTGTACCAAAAGATACGTCTTTCACATATCAAAAGTTGTTCTGTTTTTAAATAAGCACTGTATTAGCCCAACTTAAAAAAAGGTTGGTGTTAGTTTATGAATATTTATACTTTTTATTGTGTCTTTTGGAAATATTGTTGTTCATTGGAATTTTCCCATCCTTAGCCATACCGGGTCAACCTGGAGCAGATGGACAGAAACACGAGCTGGAACTTTGTATCCTTTCCACAAAACATTAAAAGTTGCATGCAAACTCTAAATTATTTGTCCGTGGTTCTTGTGATCAAATTCTTTCATGTTGAATACATGGAAGATCGATGTTATGTTTTCACTTTGTGTGTGTGTGATTTTTAACTTAATATTGCCTTTGAGAACCCTTCTTAACCACCACGGCAGATTCTCCAAATTGGATAGTATTCCAGCCCAATATACTAATTGATGCCAAGCTTGGATACATGTGGTACCTGAAGCTGTCTCTAGAACCCATTGTCAGTTTGATTGATGATAAGGTAATGTCACCATGGATCGTGTAGCACTGATGGTGACTTTTTTCATAGTTCTGATAGTGAATTGCCTAACTGAATATTTGTATCTCCCCAAGACATTGATTTGTCAATAATGCTAGAAAATACTGATCTGAAAACTCAAAATAAAATCAGTTTTGTGACAGAAAGCATGTTTTTGCAATTTACCAAAATGGTTAAGAAAAATGGAATTTTGGAATGAGTTTGAATTTTTATTTATTTATTTATTTATTTATTTATTTATTCATTCAGACACATTGTTTGACCTATTGTGTTCAAAATCGTTTAAATTTAAAATTGATTGTCACGATTCTTATTTTAGGTGAAGCTGATAGACTTCTTGCTAAGAAGGAAGGACAGTAAGATGGTGATACTGAAAGTGTGTAAACAAATGATGTTACCAGACTCCCAGGCCTCCTTACCTGTTATAGCTCAAGTCTTTGACCTCCTCAATGCAGGGTACAGAGAATATCTGGATAAAGAGATCCAGGCTCAGGTGTGCAGTCTATTTTTATTTAAATTTTGAAGAAGTTTGAATGCTTTGTTCTTCTGTTATTTTTAAGAGTATTTTTTATTTTATGAGCAGCCTACTCATAACATGAAAGAGACATTTCTGACCAATTCCTGATTGGGAGCTTTGTATCCCATTCTGAATTTTTGAATGAATGTTGTTTTATCAGTGTGGCTTATTTTCTTGTAAGTTAGTTGTAACACTTTTGTTTTCATGTTTTCAGGTGGTAGTACCATCCCTAGGATCAATACTTGATCACCTTGTACCTTATACTGGGGTAGTGCTTTTGAATTTGATTCTTCTCAATATCTTCCAACACCCAGATACTTACTTTTCTCTGAACAATTTATGTTTCATTTTATTTGAAGAGCTTTTTTATAAAAGAACTACATATTCATTTCAGCGACAATGCCATTTGATTACTGATATAATTGATAAGACATGTCTCCAGTCCTTATTCCTATACTCAGTCTTAAAATTGAAATTGATTGCCCAGCAGTCCAATCCCTTTACTTACCCTTTTTTTTTCAATCTAACCATATAAACTGCCTAGGTATGCATGCATATATGCCTTTCTCCTGCTTTTAAATGCATTTTATGTACTTCAAATATTTTAAAAAGATCTATTTGTACATAGTACACATAAAGTAGTAGACAGTGGTGTGCAAATAAATCACCTTATTGCATTTTATGTTTAAGGTAAACACTGTTCTTATTGTAATTGTAAAATTAAGAAATCAAAGAAAATTGTTTTATTATAATTATGTAAACTGTATTTGCTTAGAGGTATTAATCAGCAGGTATATTTCATGTTGTGACATTATTGTATTTTTCAGGCATCAGAGAGCACACAAACTATGGACAATCTACGAGGCAGGAAGGCAATTATAGACCAGTCTGATATGTATACACACGTTTTATCTGTGTTTGGAGATAGCAAGGTATGACTCTTTAACAGTCCAGTCTGGTTTCATATTTCTTTCTTGTTTGACTTAGATTAATTTTTTTTTTCAATTAGAAAAAAATGATTTACTTTTAAGGCTGCTATCTTAAAAGAACCTCGTTACTTCACTAAAGAAAACACTGAAGTATATATAGTAACATGCAGTCATAATGTTTTCACACCATTGCACACAGTGTTAAACAGAGAAGTTTGTTTGTTATTTTTATTACTTACATATCAAAATTTGCCAATTCTCCTGTTTCAGAACATTCACTTCAAATTCATAGTGGCAACCCTGGTGGAATACATCCGCTCCCTGAACCAGGTGTTTATCCCAGTCCAGCATTACCTGTATGAACTGGTGATCAACACACTGGTACATCACCACTGCTTTTATCAACTGCACCAGTTCCTGCAGTACCATGTGCTCAGTGACTCTAAGCCTCTGGTAAGATATAACTGTCAAAGCCTGGGCCCTATCCCACAAAAGAAATCTTTAATTGATTGTAACTCAATAGAAAATAGTGACTGTTGGTGTAAAATGCTGATCATTTCTTACTTTTTATCTGATAGGTTATTTATTTTTCCTATAGTGGACTTCAACCGATTAATTCTTGTGTCCTGAAGATTAAAAAATAGAGCGAAACGTGTTTAAAGTATAAAAACATAATACACAAGTTAATACTTGAAAATTAACTCGAACATATTATTTAAAATGCATGGATAGCAATTGAGATGTTTTATGAGTCTTCTTTTTATTTTTATGTACAGACACAGATGTGTCTGTACATATAGCCATCATCTGCGTCTGTCGTCGCCGTCGCTGTCGCCGTCGCCGTCGTCGCCGTGCACTTTTACCGATAACACGATAAGTGGAAAACTGTTTTTTCTTTTGGCTTGAAACTTACAGAACTAATGAATATTCATAATACACAGGTCAAGTTCGAAAATCAGCATGATCGGGTCACTTATAGGGAATTTATGCTGTTTTTTCACTTTTTTCAGCATAAATGAAGCACCGATAACACGATAAGTGGAAAACTGTTTTACTTTTTGGCTTGAAACTTACAGAACTGATGAATATTCATAATACGCAGGTCAAGTTCGAAAAAATCAGCGTGATTGGGTCATTTTTAGTGAATTTAGGCTATTTTTTCTCTTTTTTCAGCATAAATGCAGCACCGATAACATGATAAGTGGAAAACCGTTTTGGCTTTTGGCTTGAAACTTACAGAACTGATAAATATTCATAATACGCAGGTCAAGT